GCTTGTATCAGAGACACTGGTTGTAAAAATTGTTTCCCAGCTTTCTGCTTCCCTTCTAATCTTGGTTTCATTGGCTTTGTGCAATCTAATATAATCAAAATCATCCATTTTGCATTTCACAATGTTGTCTATCTCTTGTTTGGTCATAAATTATTCTGTTTTCCATAAATATGACAAGTAAACTGTTCCTTGCTCTCCCAGTTTGCTTATAGTATCAGCCTTTAAATCTAAATTGTGTAACCATTTTAACTTTATCTTGGCATACAGTGTAAGATGTTGGTCTATGTCTAGTTTCTGCCATATTTTCCAGTTTTCCCAACAGTTTTTGTTAAATAGTGAGTTCTTATCCCAGAAGCTGGAGTCTTTTGGTTTATCAAACAGTAGATTACTTTAGTTATTAACTATTGTGTCTTGGGTACCTAACCTATTCCACTGATTTGCCCCTTTATTTCTTAGCCCAGTGCCAAGTAGTTTTGATGATTGCTGCTTTGAAATACAATTGAAGATCTGGTATGGCTAGGCCACCTTCCCCTGTGTTTCTTTTCATTAATTCCCTTGATATTCTGGACCTTTTGTTTTTCCAGATGAATTTTATTATTTTTGTCTAGGTCTCTAAAATAATGTTTGGTAGTTTGATTGGTATGGCACTGAATGAGTAAATTAATTTAGGAAGAATTGTTATTTTTATTATATTAGCTCAACCTACCCATGAGCAACTGATATTTTTCCAATTATTTTGATCTGACTTCTTTGCCTTTCTCCATGAACTTTCATAATAATGATTATAATGTTATCTCTTATTTATAGTGTGCTTTATAATTTACAAAGTGCCTTCCTCCCAGTAGGCCTGGGTCTGAGTGCTTTAGTGATTTACTGAAGATCACATGATTAGTGAGTAGAGGAACCCTGGCTCCAAATACAATTGTCTTCACTCTTCTTTAGCTTTTCAGGGCTTTGGCCTCTGGGGATTGGGCAGTCTGGGATCCCACCATTCTGAGACAATCTTCCTTGCATAGCACTAATATTCCTTGCTCTTTCCTCTGTCATAGACCTCAGAAGCCATCATCTAGGGAAATAACTCTTGTGCAAAAACTGTCAACCAGTCCCAACAACTGCTAGCAAGTTGCCACCCACAGGATAGGCAAGACATCCTAGCTGACATATCAGTTGTCTTATTATTGTCATTCTCTGGGGTGAAATTGTTGATTGTTTCTATGATTTGTTATTTAACTCACTCATTCTTGAGGATTAGATTATTTAGTTTCCAATTAATTTTTAGTATATCTTTCCATGGCCCTTTATTACATGTAATTTTAATTGCATCATGATATGAAAAGGATACATTTAATATTTCTGCCCTTCTGCGTTGGATTGTAAGGTTTTCATGCCCTAATACATGGTCAGTTTGTGTGTAGGTGCCATATACTGCTGAGAAGAAGGTATATTCCTTTCTATTCCCATTCAATTTTCTCCAGAGGTCTACCATATCTAACTTTTCTAAAATTCTATTCACCTCCTTAACTTCTTTCTTGTTTATTTTGTGGTTAGATTTGTCTAGTTCTGAGAGGAGGAGGTTGAGGTCCCCCACTAGTATAGTTTTGCTCTCTATTTGTTCCTGTAACTCCCTTAACTTCTCTAAAAATTTGGATGATACCACTTGGTGCATACATGTTTAGTAATGATATTACTTCATTGTCTACAGTACCTTTTAGCAGGATGTAGTTTCCTTCTTTATCTGTTTTAATTAGATCTATTTTTGCTTTTGCTTTGTCTGAGATAAGGATTACTACTCCTGCTTTTTTTTTTTACTTCAGCTGAAATATAATATATTCTACTGCAGCCTTTTACCTTTACTCTGTGTGTATCCCTCTGCTTCAAATGTGTTTCTTGTAAATAACATATTACAGGATTATGGTTTTTAATCCACTCTATTATCTGCTTCCATTTTATGAGAGTATTCATCCCATTCACATTCACAGTTGTAATTATTATCTATGGCTTTCTCTCCATCCCATTTCCCACCCCATCCCCATTTATGCTTTCCTTTCCCCTTTCTCCTTTACTTTCCTTACTAGAGTTTTGCTTTGGACCACCACCTCCCTCAATCTGCCCCCTTCTATCAGCCCTCTCCCTTTTCTTTCCCCTTTCCCCTCCTACTTCCTACAAGGTAAGTTAGATTTCTATACCTAATTGGGTATGTTATTCCTTCTTTGAGCCAAATCTGATGAGGGTAAGGTTCAAACAATGCTCATCTCCCTCCTTTCTTTACCTCTACTGTAATAGGTCTTTGTGCCTCTTCAGTTTTTTTCTCTTCTCTTGTTGCTAAAGCTAACATTTCTAGTACAATATGGAATAACAGTGGTGATAATGGACATCCTTGTTTCACCCCTGATCTTTCTGGAAATGCTTCTAGCTTATCCCCATTACATATAATGCTTGCTGATGGCTTTAGATAGATGCTACTTATCATTTTAAGGAAGACTCCATTTATTCCTATGCTTTCTATTGTTTTTAATAGGAATGGGTGTTGTATTTTGTCAAAAGCTTTTTCTCCATCTATTGAGATAATCATATGATTTCTGTTAGTTTTCTTGTTGATATGGTCTATTATGCTGATAGTTTTCCTAATATTGAACCAATCCTGCCTTCCTGGCATAAATCCTCCCTGGTCATAGTGTATTATCCTTGACATAAATTGCTGTAATCTCTTTGCTAATATTTTATTTAAAATTAGGGAAATTGGACTATAATTTTCTTTCTCTGTTTTGACTCTTCTCGGTTTAGGTATCAGCATCATATTTGTATCATAAAAAGAATTTGATATGACTTTTTCTTTGCATATTTTCCCAAATAATTTATATAGTATTGGAATTAATTGTTCTTTAAATGTTTGATAGAATTCACTTTTTCTTGCTTACATCTCATTTCTTTTCTTAATTTTTCTTCTACCTCTCTTATTTAACTTTAAAAATCCTTCTTGAGCTCTTCCAAGAAGACTTTTTGGGCTTGAAACTAGTTCATATTCCCCTTTGAGGTTTCAGATGTGGGTATATTGACAATGTTGTCCTCTTCTGAATTTGTGTTTTGATCTTCTCTGTCCCCATAGAAAGAATCTATGGTCATTATCCATTTCTGCTTTTTGCTCATGGTGTTTGACTATTTCCTGGCTTTTAATGTTGAGCTCTCCTGATGAAGCACAGGGACACCTGACCCAAATGTCACAGTTGCTCATGGTGCTTATTCTGTAAGGGGATAATGTGGTTTGTAATGCAGGGTGTCCCAGAAGTTTTAGTGCAGTTCTAAACCTGGTCACTGGCTTTGTGTGCTGGGGCCTCAGGTGCTAGAGCTGGAGGCTGTAGGGGTCTGGCAGCTTACCTGGTGCCGAGCTGGAGTGTGGGGGTGTCTGGCCCCTGGCAGACATCTGTTCACCTAGGCTGCTCTGAAGCTCCAAAAAGTTTGGCTGCTGGAGTCTACCTGCCTGTGTCAAGGTTGTTTCCATCAGACTCAGAAAGGAGATTATGTTAAAGGTGGTATTGGTGGTGTTGATCTGCCTGGCATATACTGTCTTCCATCTTTCTTTCATAGTGCCCTGCTATATCAGCTAGGATGTCCTGCCTATCCTGTGGGTGGCAACTTGCTAGGAGGTTGGTGTGGCTGGTTGACTATTTTTCCACAGGAGTTATTTCCCTAGATGATGGCATCTGAGGTCTGTGACAGAGGAAAGAGCAAGGAATATTAGTGCTATGCAAGGAAGATTGCCTCAGAATTGTGGGATCCCAGACTGCCAAATCCCCAGAGGCCAAAGCCCTGAAAAGCTAAAGAAGAGTGAAGACAATGTCCATGGAAAGACCACTGTATTTGGAGCCAGGGTTCCTCTACTCACTAATCATGTGATCTTCAGTAAATCACTAAAGCACTCAGTCCCAGGCCTACTGGGAGGAAGGCACTTTGTAAATTGTAAAGCACACTATAAATAAGAGATAATATTATAATCATTATTATGAAAGTTCATGGAGAAATGGAAAGAAGGCTGAATTGTGAGTCAGGGGATTTAGGTTCAAATCCCATTTCTGTCACTGGTGTGACCTTGGGCAAACTACTTAACATTGCTTGGCCTCAGTTTTCTCCTCTATATGTAGCCTAGGGTTCAAGCCCATTTGAATAAAACTCTCCTCATTGGTAAAGAATAACTGATGCTCCATGCTTGTGTGAGAGACAAAGCTGGTGAGAGCTTGGAAGAGAGCTCCCAAGTCTTCAGGCTTCTAGATTTTAGAGAGAAGAAACCTGAGATCCCAGGTCTCTTCATGGAGGGATTGCTGGAGCAATTAAAAAGACTCTGAGAATAAGTCAATATGTAGAGGAGACAGCACCTCAAACATGTACCCAGTCCCATTTTACCGCATTAGAGACTCTGAAGAATTTCCCTGTGGTTGTTATTATTGAGGAATATTGAGAGCTTAATCTTATTTGCACTCATTCCACATATCTAGTCTCTTGTTTCACCTGTTTCCTTCTACTTTCCCAACATATCTTACATACACCACCTTGTCTCACACAGCCACCACCCTAATGCAGGGCCTTTATCACTTCTCCCGTGGACTCTTGCTATAGCTATAGCCTTCTAATTGGTCTCCCTACTTCAAGTCTGTCTCCATTCCAGAGTGATTTTCCTAAAGCTCAGTTCTGACCATGCCACATACCAGCTCAGTAAACTCTAATAAATTACTCAAACATCTCCTTCATTTGGTCATTGAAGACATCAGCTGAAAGCAGAAAAATTGCTTCAAAATGCTGCTGCTGCTGCAGCAGCTATTGTGATGATAGCACAGAAGAAGCTATGATTGTCTCATCCTGCTCCACAGAAAGCAAACAGAACCCAGATGCCCCATTCCGCATCCCAAAGTTCATCTACAGGGATGGCACCCAAAGCTATAACTCAGCATTCACAGGTGACCCTGAGCTAATTACCCAACTTCCTTTCCAAGAATGGTCTAGGACCTTTGTGCTCTGGGATTTCTGCTGCTCACTCAGTGATAGAGGGACAGCTATAGTGACCACTTGGACATCTGGGCTTTCTCTGGGTGGAGAAGACTTGGAGTTCCTATGACAGGGAGTCAAAGGACAGGAAGTCAACTTCTATCAGAATAAAAGAAGACAAGCACAGCTTCAGCAGCTAAGGACCAATACCACTTTGCTGGAAGGACCCCAAAAGCCACGAGGTACAGGTATTCCTACTAATACTTCCCATCTTTCATTAATGCTTCCCAAGCATATTGTTCTCAACTCATCCTGTTTAGAGCTATTTTAATCAGTATCATCATACACGGTACAGTGATGGATATGTTGGTAACAAGATGAAAGGAAGATATTTGTTTTGTTTAGTGTCCACAGTCAATTCTCTTGAAAACTGAGTAGAATAGAAATTGCTTTAAATGAGACCAGACATGGCCAGGGAACCGAGAGGAGATTGACACTCCATCTACTGAGCCAGTAGGTAGAGACAGAAGGACAGAGATCTAGAAGGTTCTGCCTTAGTGCTTACCTTATTTCCCCAATGGTGTTGCTCCTTTCAGTGGTGCTACCACAGGAACTGGTGGCTGGATTCGAGATATAAGATATACAAGCCAAGGGACCCATGTCATGGCTGGCACTGCCGGCTACTACTTTGGCAATCTGTACATTCCAGATCTCTTCCAGATAAAAGTCCCTTATTATACTTAATAGATCTTCTATACTAGTAGACATGGGGATGCTCTGCATTCTTTAACAGAAGGGAATGACTTGTCCCCTACTAGGCTTCATGGGAAGGTCCTGTAGTGGATGGCTTTCAGTCTCTCATGGTGTTTATTCTGTAAGGGGATAATGTGGTTTGTAATACAGGGTGTCCCAGAAGTTTTAGTGCAGTTCTAAACTATTAAAGCTAATATGAAATTCATGTTTTATTATATATTATGTATTAATATTAAAATTTTAATAGTTTATGATTGCAC